TGGGTCGGCTTCTGTGCTTTTTGCTCCGCGTTTCTTCTGTCCCGGAAAATAAACCTCCAAAGCAATTACAACCTAAAAATTGTCAAGGTGCAGGCGAGCTGGTGTATGTTGAACATGATGCAAAATCCTGAGACTGGGAATGAAATTTAAAAGGAAAAGTGAAAGAAGACAGAAAAAAAGGGACAGGACAATGTCTCAAACTCAGCTGAGTTGAGTTTGAGACGTCCTGAACTGAGTTTTCAGCTGAGTTGAGTTTGAGACGTTGTCCTGAGCTTGAGATAAGTTTGAGACGTTGTGCTGTCCCCTTTTTTTTGTCTTCTTACACTTTTTCTTTCAAATTTTATTCCCAGTCCCAGGAATCGGCATCATGTACAAACTAAACTTACTATATGCCAGCGTCACTCGGGCGGCATTTGATTAGATTGCTACCAGCGTGCAAGGGGGTAGGGAGGCAGTTTTCCTGATCGTTTCAAAGGTTTTTCTAAGCCTCAACCACCAGCCTGCCCCTGGCTGTTTCAAACTGGATGAGTATCGTTAAACAGTGCGTTCGTGTGATCACTACTGCGTGATGGACATTAAAGACCCCCCCCCCCACTCCCCCTTGGGTCACTTGGTCACAATTACTGAGCTATGGTCACATGTCACTCTGCACTGACAACTATTCCAGCACATCCGGGACACTCGTCGTCTCATTTAATTGTCTGACCAACTTCGCGCAGCCTAAATATCACACCTAAACTTTTCTACCGTAATATCCCGAGTCATCGCCCACCCCCCTACCGCCTGAAATTCGTTAAAAAAGTGGGGTGGGCCATGTCTCGGTGGGTGAGCACAAACACTTGAAAAAAAGCGGAAAAAACCGCCTATTTTTCTCTGCGTATCTAGCGCTGATGCACAAGAGATAAATCAAACTCAAAACTCGATTTAGTTTCATTGTTTTATAGAAAAAAATGCTCACGAAAGAATATTTTACTATAACGAAGTCCGTTGCTTGCATACGCGCTAGAAACACCGCCGATCTGCATATAGCGCAAACGTTTGTTCCGTGAAAGAATGTCACCACTATGTTCTCCTAGTTAGTAAAAAAAAAAAAAAGAAAGAAAAGTCTACAAGAAAATAGAAAAACCGACCAGGCGCAACGAGCGAGCGAGCGAGCGAGCGAGCGGACCAAAGAAGCGACCAAGAGCAATGCTGGGAAAGCGGGAAAGCCGGCGGTCGCGTTGGCAAATACTTTGGCGTCGGGCCAAGTCGGGCGCCTTGTCAATTGCAAGCTCTTGCGCAACTCTCTTGTTTGGTGCGTACATACGTGCGTCCGTGCACGGCGGGCTATCAATGCACGGTTGGGGCGCTCTGCAAACGTCTGTGTAGGACGTTCCAGCAAAGCTTTATTTACGCTTTGGCTTTGCCTAAAATATTGCACAACCGCGGTCGCGACTGGCGGGAAGAATGAGCGGGTTCGTGGTGACCTTACTTCGGCGGAGACAGGCTTTGACCTAACACTCCGCGGTTACATTAACAAACTCTCATTTTGTTATCTCCATCGTTTTCTTTTCGCACGGATACACGACCACTTTGGGGTCGCTCACGGAGGAAATGCGTAAACAAAAAGAAGTGTCTTTCCCTCCATCGTTTTACTTTGTCACGGACGTCCTCCAACTGTAAGGTCCGCGGCCGCGTCATTCGGGTAGGATGAGTGTTCGCGGATCGCAGAGTCCGCGCTGGGGTATTTGAAGGGGTTGGCGATGACTCGGTGTTTTTTTTTCGGAAATCGATATTGGCCCAAAAAATGGGGTGGGCGATGGCTCGGGGATGGGCGATGACTCGGGATATTACGGTAAACTTAATTTCGTGACAACCAGTTAGGTGTGAAAACATTATTTGAAACTGAAACCGTGGAGGAAAGTGGAAACTGGACAACATCAAACTCTGTGCACTTGGACTTGAAAGAAATTCGAAACGTTCAAAGTTTTTTTTCAAATTTAGCTCTAAAAGAGAATTGAAACTTCAAACTTTTTTTTAACTTTATGTAGAAAGAAATTTGAAATATTCAAATTTATCGAACTTCATATCTATAAAAATTCGAAACATTTAAATTTTTCGAATTTCAGATTAAAAGAAGTTTGAAATCTAATTTTTCAAACGTCAAATTTAAAAAATTCTAAATCTTCAATTTTTTTCGAATTTCAGATCCCAAGAAATTCAAAACTTTTGAATCTCTCAAATTTCAAGTTAGGAGAGTTCGAGATCTTCAAATTTCTCGAACCTCAAGTAAAAAGAAATATTTAAAATAATCAAACTTAAACTTTTAGAAACCGTGAAAGCTCCGAACTTCCGAATTCGAAACTCCACTGTGTCTGAAAGTTGCGAACTTTTCGATGGCGAACCTCGGTATGGTCGACAATATCGAAATCTTTCGAATTCGAACCTCAGTTTGGTTTGAAAATATTGAAACCTTTCGATTTCGAACCTAGGGTGGTTCACAGCATCCCTAGTAATCACATGTTTGAAGTAAAAGAGAAAACAAAAACCTCTTTTGGGGCGCGCCTCTTATCGCAAGACCCGCAACAAACGTTTGGGTGCACACTGTGACCTCTTGGGCTCACCGATATCTCGGTCGAGTTTTAAAGCACAGCTCTTAGGCACCCGTTTCCAATTTGAGCGGTACCGTCGCCGTAACCGCGTGCGTTGCAATATGGAAAAAATGCAAGCGGCCGTAACCGCACGTTGCATTAAGGGAAAATTTCCCCACTAAATTTAGCAAGAAAGTTATTGTTAAATTTTTCTGCTAAATTTAACGCGAAAATTTTCCCAATAAATATGACGAGGAAAAGTTACCGCTAAATTTAGCAAAAAAAGGTCCCGCTATATTTAGAGAAAAATACGCCTCCTAAATTTAACGGTAAAATTACCCAGCTAAATTTAGCGGGACAATTTTTGCAAAATTTAGCGGCAAATTTAGTTACAATTTTCCGCAAAATGGGAGGGGAGTGGGAGAGGAGGGGGGAGAAGGAGACGGGGCATACCCTCCTCCTCCTCCTCAAAAGCTGTGCTCTAATTCGGCGTTACAGAAAGTTGTAAAAACGGTTAAAGTACAGGCGCGCTGGTGTAAGTTATACATGATGATTGAAAGCTGAGACTGTGGTTTTAAAAACGGAAACTCGTGAAGTGACAAGAAAAAGGGACCGACGTCTAACTCAGCTAAAAGCTTCATTGCCTCTACGCTTAATATACACCTCCCAGAACGTCGAGAGAGGTGTACACCTCCCCCGACATTTAGGGGAGCTGTATATAAGGCATAGAGGCAATAAAGCTTTTAGCTGAGTTTGAGACGTTGTCTGTCCCTTTTTCTTGTCACTTCACGAGTTTCTGTTTCTCAAACCACAGTCTCAGCTTTCAATCAACATGTACAAGAGAATTGTAAACGTCTTTCATTTTTTTTAACCTTTTTTCTTTTCAACTGGAGTACTGGCATCCGTAATAAGGGGAAAAAGTGACTGTATTTGCCCAGTTCATCCACAAAATAGCTGTCTATAGTCCAGACTGGAGTTTCCGTATTAGCGGGGCAAAATTGCATGGCGAAAGATAGGTCGCAGAAAATTTCTTTCATTATGTGGGGTGTCCAAATTAACTAGACATGACTGTATATTGTGTGTGTGTGTGTTGGGGGGGGGGGGAGGGTAGCAAACTATTTTACTTTGGCCACCCCTCCGAAAAGCGATTCTGCATAGGTCGTCTGCTCCAAATGTTTTGCTGTGCTCAGGTAAGCTGACATTGATTAGAAACTAGGGTCAGGTGCTACACACAATGCCTACGCAAAATGATTCTGCTAGGAGCACACCGTGCCGCCACTTGTCACATGCCTGAAGCTTCCAATAGCAAAACCTGGTTTCCTCGTATTTATTTTATTCAAATATTATCCGTGGTTATTAAACTCTCCGAAATCATGCACAAAAAAAAGAAACTGGAAGTATTAGTTCTTATCATACATAATACCAATAATCCAGTTTTTTGCAAAAAAGTTACCACAGCATTTTTCTACAGCACAAAGGGCTAGTTGGGCACAGACGAGTGTTGGGCTTTTTCGTACACTTGATTGGGTCAGCCAGACTCCCTGCCACATACGTTATTACAGCACAGACTTCCTTTCAACAGTCAACTCATATAACAAGCAAAAACAATGAAACCATCAAATTCCAAAAAAAAGATTAGCGTGTCCCCACACCAACAAGCAAACTTAAAAAAAAAACTCACTTATGCGAAAAGATACAAGTGGGATAGGTTTAATGGTAGTTAAACCTATCCAGCTTGTGCAGTGGTGATACACGACCGTATGCCGGTATGATGCTCCCCCAGATCGAAACAAACAGGGGTTCAATCCCCACCACTGCTTATTTCTATCTGGATGAGCATCGTACCGGCGTGCGGTTATGTATCACTACTGCATGGTGCATGTCAAACACCCCAGGCTAGCAGCGGTAAAGTGTACTGGCCAAGTTTTTCATCTACAGCGCAAACCAGTGTCGCCGCACCTCACAGACAGACCAACTTACGCCGTATAAACACCAACAACAAATTTGGTTTTTCATTAGCTTTAAGAACATAAAAAGGTACCTTCTACCGTGTCCCAGCAAATAAATGACTCAGGTTTCATTTACTATGCTCGATCTGAAGTACATGCCCTGTGCTTTATTCTGTAATTTTAAAGGATTGTTATGAGTAAACATTGTACAAGGTATGTTGTTGCGTTTTTGCTACAACATATTTCCTCCAATTTCTCGTCTTTTTTCTGTCTTTTGCCAATATTGTTTTGTTGCCCACTGTGCAATATACACAGGTAACAGGACTTGGACAAGCGGAGAAAGTCTGCTTTTTGACAGATTACGCTAAATCCGGTGTAGGAACAAACAAACAAGCACCAACACAGCAATTTTCGCGAGCGTGCCCGACTCCTGAGACAGAAGCGCCAACAGTCGTTGCATCCGGGTGGCGAGGATTCGCACCTGAGTTTGTTGAGGGAGACTGCGAAGGTGTTGAGCCGCTTCAGGAATTTGGGTTGGCACGCCGCCAGCCTGCGATTTGAGAGGCGGGAATGATTGAGAGATCCTCGCGGGAGCGTGGCACAACATTCTTTCGACAAACAACTAATACCATTCATTTTTTAGGGCATGAGGAACTAAACAAAAGCCATACTCCAAATCAACCACTGTGAGTTCCCCCCAAAACAATGGAGCATGCCGGCAATGGGAGCTCTACACCACTTACTTTTCTAGACCCCCAAACGGGTTTTTCCTTGCCGACAAAAAATGCCACGAGAAGTGCGGCATACCTGCCGAGTTCGGAGAAACCAAATCCGGGAGATTTTCTATGCCGAAAAAAAAGGAGGAGGCCTGCGGTTTATTTAAAAGTAGGGGTGTGCAAATATTAAAAACTTTGAATACAAATCAAATATTTTCCTTATTTAAAACCTATTCAATTCGAAAATTTCATATTCGGAAGTTCCCGAATATTCGGCCAAAGCCGAATATTCACAGAAACTATGAATATTCGAGCAAGTAACGAATAATCTGCTTGTCGCGCATTCCCCTATGAATATATTTATTCATTAAGAAAGGCGTATGATGCGTGCATTATCAGTCTGCCTTGTTTCTATCTGTCCGATGGCAGCAAGACAGGATCAGTTTCAGTTTCTTTTTCACTATGCCCTTTGTTGTGTGGCGCTTTTATAGCAATATGTGATGCAATTGCATGTTCTATAAATTGATACAATAAAATAAACCTCGAGAGTGAAATATAAATATAAAATGAATCTCAAGAGTGTTATCTAATATAAATGTTTGAAAATTAAAAAAAGAAAAAGCTAGGTCTGAGCAGAACATTGCATCGCCATCGACAAAACTCCTGCCACACCAGTGAAGTCAAAACCAACGTTATTAGAACCAACTCAGTTCTGGAACTCCGCTCCGGAGGGAGGTCCCTTTGCGTGGCGCCTGTTAGAGGGCGCGCACTCTGCTTTAATACTCGCTATCATCATCATTGACGGCGCGCTTGTCACCGTTGCCATAGAGATTGTACATGGCCGTTGCATCTGGCCTACTGAGCTTACAGATGTTCGTGGCACTTTTTCTGACAGTAGCAGACGACTCTCAAATTGTTTCTGCTGCAGTTGGTAGTCATCGGCACATCTACTATTACAGTGTGTACAAACTTGCCCCGATTGTAGCCACCGGATTGTGGTGCCGACGAATTTGGGTGGTTCGAAACGCTTCGGGCTGTCAGCACAGCTAAGGCGGCAGCATTTTACAATAATGCAAAGCGTATGCCAAAACAGTTGTAGCGCTTTTCATGCTCAAATTGTAATTTTTAATGGCGAAAGGGCAAAAATTAACTAAAAACCACGCTGAACCTCGAGAGAAGTCGGGACTCGCAAGCAGCCGCGGAGCAGTAGCAGACGAAAACGCGTGGAATAATGCGCCGGCAGCGCCACTTAGCTGCAAAAAAATCGGACACTGTTTCGGACCCCCTCTAATGCACAGCGTCTATGGGAAGTTCCATAACTGAGTTGATCTAGTAACGGTGGTCAAAACTAGGGATGTCGCGAACCTGCCCAGGTTCGAGTTCGACTAAGTTCGACTTTTTCTAACTTTCAACGTGATGTTCAACAAAGGTTCAACTAAAGTTATACTTTTGTGCGCATCCACGAAAAAAAAAATAATTGATTTACTTGGCAGAGGAAAAGTGCAATATCTGTTGGGTTTATTGGCATCACTGGTTCACAATAATAACCAATGAAAGTGTTAAAAGTGCATATGTTTGCTTTTATATGGTGTAAACATTGGAAACCATTTTATAAAATATTTATTTATTTATTTATTTTATTACATTTTCAGTCCCCTCAACAGCCCAAGAGCCTACAAGAGGGTGCACCAAAGTGCGTACATGCAAGAAGACAAAACATAAAAATACAAAATACAAAAACATGCATAGAAAAAAAAAAGTTTACATGTTTGATAACAGACAGCACTGATGCAAAAACATGCCTAGTTAAAGTTATACAAAATATACTACTTTCTAACTTTTTTGTTTCCCGAAATTCGAAATATTCTTGTAGCAGATGGGCAACACTGTCCATAAGTCAAACTTCTTCGAACTTTAGTGAAATTTCGCAGGTTTCACGATTAAAGGGTCTTTCTACTGGCGGAAATGTTGTGATGGCGCGGAGGGAGCGCTTACTTTCTGAACACGTTGAACAGTTAATTTTCCTACACGATAATTGTAATGAGTGCATTACTAGAAGCATCTTTAGCCCAGTAAAACGCAATTACATCGATTTATTTTAAAAAAGGGCAATAAAACCTGCTGTTATCTCTTGTTTTGCAATTTTTTATTACAGGACACATATTCGATTCTATATTTGAAGCCCATTTCTTGTTTTATTCGTATTCGATTCACATTTGAAAATTTCAATATTCGCACGTGCACCCCTATTTAAAATAAATATGGACACTGAATTTACACAAAGACAATTCCATTACATTTGTACTGCACTGCTCATGCTAGCGAGATCCAGCTGGGCCTCGCCATCATTGCTGCTGAACGGCAAAAACTTTTTGCTACACCACTGTCGTGCGATGTGCCCGAGTATTCCGTCTGGGCTGTGTCTGGGATATGTCTGTGCTGACATTTTTAAACCCAGCCATTTACCGTTTCCTCATCCCTATTAGTTTTCAAGCAAGCCGTCCCTATATTGTGCAGAAAGCCATCGCTTGTTTAACTTATTCATTCTCTTCGGAGCCTGTAGGAATGGCCGAAGGAGCTTAGCTGAAAAAGCTTGGGGAATTGGCGGCGTGGTCACCCGAAGCGTCCTTCGGAGCCGCTCAATGCCTCCTGTTTTTCCCTTTGGCGGCAAGTGGTGGCCAGCTCCCGAAAGTGGAAGCAGGTTTCTCCGCGTGGGAAGTAAACAAAGCCTTCGTTCCCAAGGCGAAAGCGGGTGGTCGCCCTTGCCACCGGGGTAATTGGGGAAATGACTTTGTCAAGGCCATGTAGGCAACTCCAGGGAGAGAGGGAGGTGCGGCCCCCCTTCGGAATGTCGGCGTGCCTTTTTGGAGAAGTTGAGTTTGAATGAGCCCGTGCACGGAGCAAGAAGTCATCCTCCCGCATTCCCAAGGACTCCGCATACTCTTGTCTTGCGGGGCACAAAACTTGTTGTGTGCAGCGACGGACTTGGCGCCTAGATGCTTTTGTCAACATAGGGCTGCCACGAGCGGCAGCAGCAGCGTGACAGCCCTTGTACCATATTCGCCCTCCATTGTAAATATATTCATCAAAAAATGTCCACCAAGCCCTCCCGTTCCCGACTGCCGAGAACGCCAGGCGGCATTGCACAGCACTCCACGGACACCCGGCCCCATCGAAACCCGAGGGAGACGAGTATTGGGAAAATCACAACCGTTTTGGGAAAGACAAATCTTTACTGGCGCAGTCGATAGGATGGTGGACATCGTCAGCCACTTTCAACGACTTCAAGGGCGGAAACGACGACGCCTGTGTTGGTGCGGTGCACGGCGGTACAAGGCAACAGACTCCGCGTGCTGTAATTGATGGACTCGCGAGTTCGGCGGCGTTAACAACTTTCGTGGACTCTACAGCACTGCCAGGTACGTGGTCGCTTTCCTTTTCGTTGCCGGCTGACACCCGCGAGCTTAACTGCATGGCGAAGTGCAACTTGTGTAGGAGGGGGAGCCCTAGTGACGGAGGCGACGAGGGGTCGCATGGGGAGGCAGTTCTGCTAAGCGTTCAGTTAGCCCTTGCAAGGAAAAAACGAAGGAGCTAGAGCTGCAGAAACGACTCGCAGAACTCCGGGGAGAGGAGAGCAAGAGCTCAGCTCCTACGGGACTGCCGTGAACAGACGCAGCTTTGGGCAGCAGAACACACGGCGCCCAAGGCTCGATGTGTGAGGAAGACAGAACCGGACGTGCGAGGCAACCCGGAGACAGCTGTGGGGTCTGAGGCCGATTGTGTCGTTCAGGAACAGGAGACTGCCGTGGGGTCCAACGCCGATCGCGCTCTCCAGGAACCGGACACTGTGGGGTCCGAGGCCGATCGTGTCGTTCAGGAATCGGAGACTGTCGTGGGGTCCAACGCCGATCGCGCTCTCCAAGAACCGGACACTGTCGTGGGGTCTGAGGCCAATCGCGTCGTTCAGGAATCGGAGACTGCTGTGGGGTTTGAGGCCGATCCTGTTGTTCAGGGACTGGAGAGTACGGTGGGGTCTGAGGCTGATCCTGCCGTGGGGTCCGACGCCCATTGCGCTCTCGAGAAACCGGACACTGTCGTAGAATTCGAGGCCGATCAAGCCGCGCGCGAACGAGGGTGTTCTTGCGTCAGGAGGAGCTCCCGGAGAACCAGGAGTCAGGCGCTGGGGAGACTGGTTGACTTCGAAGTCACGAAGGGAGCTACTGCAGTTGTTCAAGTTGAATTTCAGAGTCACCATGACGGGCCTTGTGCAGAGGGTGTGACTCGATGGCTGCCACCAAGTGGGCGGCGCGGGGCGACCACCTCGGAGTTGGGAAGGATATGGCGCGCCAGGGATGCAGAGCTGGTTCTTCCTTTGACCAAGTTGACCGCGAAAAAGCACCAAACACAGTTCCGTGGAGAGACCGAGCCGGGCACGCCTTCAAGGGCATAGAGGAAGCTCTGGCGAGCGTCACTGTCCTCGCGACACTTGACACAGCTGCTCGGGTATGGTGTAATTGCAGGGTGGCAGAGGAGCACTTAATCGCTCTACGGAAATGGTGTCAGCCGTGGGCGGATCAGGAGGTGATCACCGCTGCGGTAATTTTGTGCAACCAAACATTCCAGCGTTGTTCAGTGTTCACCATGCACTTTCAGTTTTTCCTTAAATGTTGGTTTGCCGTGCTTTGTTAATTCTTTTTTTTTTGTGTGGTCTTTTGTTTGCGGAAGTTCTTGCGGCACCAATGCTGTCGTCGTTGCGAGCGATCCCCGTCCTCGGGAGACCTGCTCAGAAACAGAGTATAGTAAAAAGTGTTCTCCTTTTTTCTTATTTTTTTTT